AACAGCGGCAGGTGAGGAAAGAATTGAGCTGTGGAGAGTGGTTAGCAAGACACTTGCTAGCACGCGTCAGAACTGAAAGTGTGTAAGTGTGTTGTATCCGAGTTTAACAAATTGGTTATTGATAAATTTAAACAACGCACAAGTTGAGCCAAGAGCCCACAGGTCTGACGAGTGAGTTAATATAAATGCGAAGAAAAAATTATCAGATTGGATTCCAGGCTAAACGGTATGCTCCTTCGGGTCAGTAAGTCGAAATCGCTACCTATGCAGGGCCTTGAGACAGTGGACACTGAACGAAAAATTCGGACTGCAATGTTGGCTGTCCTCCATAATATCACGTGATATTAAGTACTTCATTTTATCGAGCTTGGTTAGGTTAGGCAGCATTGTGTTAATTCCTGTCAGCCATTTTCTGAGGCGGTTTTTCTTTATAAATCAGCTTTAAGTGAATATCGTTCTGATGTCCTGCAAAAAGCCTCAAAAATTGACGAGTCATTGTGTTCAGTTTCATGCTTCCCATCGAATAATGTTAATCGAGTGTTCTATATTAAAGGCAGCTGGGCCTCCCATCGCAACACATACTTCCATCGGTTTATTCCATTTTTCGTTCTTTTAAGCTAAGAAATATTTCAGCCACTTAGTAACACTGTACCTCCTAATGATAAAACAAAATATATTTGTTTTTCTGTACTATAAATCTGCCGTCCACTCGAAGTGGGATCGGCAGTATACCTGTTATGGCTCTTCATAGTGTTGTTCCCACTGAACTGCGCCAATTAAGGGCGTGTTTGCTTTGCGGTCTTGTAAAAACACAGTCTCAGTTTGAGATGAGTGGCTGTGATAATTGTGAAGATTATATGAATATCCAAGGTGATCGAGATGCCGTACGCCAGTATACTTCCAATAATTTTGACGGTCTCATCGCAATGATGAGCCCCGCCGAAAGCTGGGTAGCACGTTGGACAATGATCGATAAACTGACTCCTGGAGTCTATGCCATGAGCGTTTACGGAAAGTTACCGAAAAGCAAGATACAGGACCTGCGAAGTAAGGGTATCGTATACCACTCTCGCGATAGGAGTCAAATGTACGTGTTTTACCTTTGTGGATGTCAACAGTTAACGTTACATGACTTTATCATTTTGCCTTCATTCCCACTAAGTTGTAGTAGGCCATTTTCGGCTGACGAGTTAATGACCTAACTCATTTCTGTTCGACATTTTGGAATGAGTCAATGAGCTTACTATGATAGTCACTCTGATTTCTCATCTTTACCAGTTCGTTTGACCTTACACATCTAGATAAGGATCGAGCGTTTTGTTCACATCCATTAACTTGATCGTTAAATTTGGTAAGGCGCTCGAAATGCAACTGCCCTGTCTTATTTGAGTTGTTGGCGAGGAAGTCATCGCATTTCGCGGAAAGAGTTACTCGGTGCAGTATATTGCAAATATGGTAGATTGCCAATTTCACCGACCTTTCCAGGTCCGCTTAGCCAAAGTTCTCACTCTGTCGCAATATTTTGCTAATAACATCAAGATGGCTTTACCATCCTCGTTGTGGGACCTAGTGCCAGTTGTCTTGATCGGTAACTGTGGTGTACTTGGAATAATGCAGCCAAAATGGCCTTTCTGAATGCATCTCAAAACCCTTATCTTTCTGTGTATTGCGGGGTTTACTGCTGCAGTTTACGGCTTGGCCTGCGAAAAACACTGTAATTGTATGATCAAGGATTTTGTCGTGTGAGCGTGCTGCAACTTTGCGGGATTAAGGCTTCTTTTATGGGACGTACTGCAAATGAGGTGAAATTTGAAACGTGTTCCAACAAGAACATTGTTTTATCCGTCGCTATTGTCCATTTCCGCAGTATGCGTCGACCTGCTATCGTGAACTCAACGGACCTAATGACACAGCGTTTACTGTTAGTTTTTTGCTTTTCCACAAATGACTCCAACTGACAGATTTACTCAGAAAATTCTACTTGGACAGTTAACTTACTGCATTAGAATTTGTGGATTCCATACGTTGCAGTAGGTCTAGCGGGTAACTTGACATAAGAATGAGGAAACTCGCGGATGCCGATGGGGACTCGTAGCTTAGACAGTTGGAGCATTAGCTGTACTGAAGCCTTCTCCTTTTCATTGTTGGTTCGGATGCCAACGAACTTTCACAGTTGGGTCAAATGAAACATTACTTATTGTTTGACACATGTAGAGCACAGATCAACTGCACAGCAAGGGCTTTAACACTTTGACTGCGACGTGCGCCATATGTGGTACATGCAGTAATGTC